CTCAGTTGTGACCGGAGGCCAAACTGGAGTTATTCTGTAGCTGGGCTGTAGGCAAGAGAACTAGGCTAACCAAATGATTTATCCCTAGAATTATGTAGCATTGCTCCCAACATCTTTCCAGTCAGCCTGGAATACTCCCCTGCTTCCTGTGAGGAAGCCTGGCACCTCAGACTTCAGACTGGTACAGGATTTGTGGGAGGTGAAAAGCTGGGTGGAGACTGTCCACCCAATGGTACCAAACCCCTATACTCTGCTGAGTCTCATCCCTCCTGCCTATGTGTGGTATTCAGTACTAGACCTCAAAGATGCATTTTTCAGCATACCTTTGACACCAGTGAGCCAACCCCTCTTTGCCTTCAAATGGACTGACCCAGACACTGGGACTACCAGGCAGCTGACATGGACCTAGCTGCCACAGGGATTCAAGAACTCTCCCACTCTGTTTGGGGAAGCTCTCAGCAAAGATTTATGAGTGGTAAGGAGAGATTTTCCCCAAGCAACTATTCTTCAATATTTAAATGACCTCCTAGTGGCAATTTCAACCAATGAAGAATGTCTTGCAGCCACCCAGGGCCTCCTGGAAGTTCTCCAAGACCTGGAATATCAGGTATCCTGGAAAAAAGCTCAGCTTTGCCAGACCAAGGTAACCTACTTGGGCTATATTCTTGAGGAAGGGAAGAGGAGGCTGGCAGAATCACGGGTATCAGCAATTCTCCAGATTCCAGAACCAAGCTCAAAGAAACAGGTGCATGAATTCCTAGGGGCAATCAGGTATTGCAGAATTTGGATCCCAGGTTTTGCTAAAATTGCCAAACCCTTGCATGAAGCCCCCATGGGGGGAGATACACCCCTCAAATGGACTGAGGCTTGCCAGCAGGCTTTCCAACTGCTTAAAACTATGCTTGCTTTGGCACCAACCCTGGCATTGCCAGACATAACCAAGCTCTTCACTCTGTATATAGCAGAGAAGAATGGGGTAGCTAAGGGAGTGATAACTCAGCCTTTGGGACCATGGAAGCAGCCGGTGGTGTACCTCGCGAAAAGGCTAGACCCAGTGGCTCACGGGTAGCCCACCTGTCTGAGGATTGTAGCAGCAGCAGCTGCTCTAACCCAAGAGGCTGACAAACTGACATTCGGACAGGATTTGACTTTAGTCACTCCCTATGACATTGAACCCTTGTTAAACAGCTCCCCTAGCAAGTGGCTATCTAATTCCAGAATGGGAGCAAGGGCTGCCCCAAGGGATGTCAGCACAAAAGGCTGAGTTGATTGCTCTGACCAAGGCTGTAGAACTAGGTAAAGATAAAAGGATAAATATTTTCACTGACAGCTGTTATGCCTTTGGCACTGCCCATGTGCATGGGGAGATTTATCAAAACCAAGGGCTACTGACCTCTGAAGGAAAGACAATTAAAAATAAAACTGAGATATTGACATTATTACAAGCTATTTGGCTGCTATGAGAGGTTGCTATCATCCATGTCCATGGGCATCAAAAGGGGGCTAGCCCTGAGGTGATTGGTAATAATGCAGCTGATCTGGCAGCAAAACAGGCTGCCCAAAAATCAGTGGGGAAACAGATGGTTCTGCTCCCCATACCAGTGCTGCCAGAGAAACCAGAGTACACAGATGAAGAAATGGTGGAAATGACCAAAAAGTGGTGGACCCAAGGTAAACATGGATGGTGGACAATGAAGGACAGAAAAGTGGTGCTCCCAGCCACTATAGCAGACACATTGCTATAAGAACTGCATGGGTCCACCCACCTTGGTGAGCAAAGAATGATGGCTGCTCTGCAACCCCATTTTGTCAGCAAGGAAATGGCACAAAAGGCCAAAGACCTAGTGAGATGATGCCCCACCTGTATCAGGGTAAAAGCAAACTGGGTGACCAGACCCCCAGGGGTCCTATATAGAGGATTAATTCCAGGAGAACATTGGGAATTGGATTTTACTGAAATGAAACCCGGCATGTATGAGTACAAGTACTTATTAGTCTTTGTAGATACTTTTTCAGGATGGATAGAAGCCTTTCCTACTAAGAGAGAGACACGCAAGGTAACAGTCAAAAGGGTCTTGACAGAAATAATTTCTCATTTTGGCTTGCTCTTAGCTCTGGGGTCCGACAATGGCCCAGGCTTTATGGCTAAATTATCTCGATTCATCAGTAAAGCTTTAGGGATAAAATGGAATTTTCATTGTGCCTATAGGCCTCAGAGTTCAGGACAAGTAGAAAGAGCAAATTGAACCTTAAAAGAAGTTCTAACTAAATTATGCTGGAGACTGAACAAGGTTGGGTAGAACTTCTCCCCTTTGCCCTCCTTCATACTCTGTGTAAGCCGCCCCTAAATCTGTCACCCTTCCAGATCATTTATGGGTGATCTCCCCCAATCATCCCTCTGGTTGATTTGGAGTTAAAGGAACTATGCCTGGTCCCAGTGAAAAACCTTTGCAACCCTTACCCTATAAGCCGGAAGATTTGGTTTTCATTTACAGGTTTAACTCCAAAACCCTTGAACCCCGCTGGAAGGGACCATTTCCTGTCATCCTGGTGACTCCCTCAGCGATAAAGGTAGCTGGACACTCTTCCTGGATCCACCACAGCCATTTAAAGGCAGCACACCCAGAGGAAACAATGTCAACATGGCAGATCGACTGGATTACAAAGGACCCCCTCAAGATAAGATTGATCAAAGACTAGTTTGGACAATATGGGGGTTCTTGGGGCTACTGTTCTTACCAGCCCCAATGGAAGGAGGATCTGGACTCCAGCTGGTGTTGTCCAGCCACACTCCCCAGAACTGGACTTGGTCCTTGAAAAATGCCTTAACAGGAGCTCACATTGCCACCATTACTACTGATAGACAGCCCCATTTTACTATAGACCTGTGTTCTCTGGGGCTTCCAATCATTAGTGGTGGAGGGGCTGGATCAAAGAGTAAAGTTTCATCTGGAAAGATGGGTAAAGGGGGCTGCAGAGGGAGGTGTGGAACAGATGATAAGTTGGAAAAAAACCCCTCCAAGATATAGATATTTATGCCTGCCCCATAGGAAAAAGTAAAAGGTGTGATGGGGGACCAGGAAACCACTGTCATCATTGGGGTTGTGAATCTATTGCCCCATGGAAAAATAATGATGTGTATTTGGCCTTGGAATGATAAACACCAAGTGGTTCATGTTCCAAAGGAAAATGTAATCCCATCAAGCTAACCTTAAAACAATGGCAGAATCCATATAAAGATTGGGAAAAAGGAAAATCCTGGATGGTGGCACTTTATGTGGGTGGAAAGGACCCTGTGACTGACCTCTTCATTCAGTGTAGCCCAGTAATAGTACTGCCTAAACCGGTAGGCAACATTTATAGGGTCTCCGGCCCCCAAGAAAAAGAAAAGGCAAAAGGAACCTATAATGTGTCATTAGCTGCTCCTGAATCTCCAATCCAACCATACCTAAAAACCCTGGATGCCATGTACACCCTGTTAAATGAGTCTAGCTCCAATCTTACTCAAGGGTGTTGGCTGTGTTTGAGTCCATGTCCCCCATATTATGTAGGGTTGGCAGTAAATGGCACCTTCTCAGAAGCTGACCAGAATGAGTGTGATTGGAAACAACTGAGGTTGTCAATTGGGTATATAAAAGGAAAAGGGTCATGTGTTAAAAATCCAAGTGTTACATCTTCTTATCTGGACAGTATATGTTCTTATCAGACACCCATCATCAGTAATGAAAAATATTTAAAAGCTGGAAACAATGCATGGTGGGCATGTACAAATGGTATAACTCCCTGTTTATCCATGACAGTCCTCAGTCAGGAACTTGAGGTATGTGTAGTGGTCCACACTTTACCCCAAGTCACTATATATGAAGACCAGGGTTGGGAATACCTAACTAAGAGAGCACACACCTCAGAGAAGCACCACCCAGCATTGATTCCTGTATTAACTGCAACAGGCATTGTGGGATCAGTGGCTCTGGGCGTGACTGCAATAGGAATGCAAGACTCTAATTTCAAGACCCCTGCCCAACAGGTAAAAATGGTCTTAGGTCTACTTACTGAGTCAGTGTCTCATTTGCAAAAACAAGTTGATTCTCTGGCTGAGATGGTCCTTCAAAACCACTGAGGACTTGACCTCAGGTTTATGAAAGAGGGAGGGCTATGTGCAGCCCTAGGAGAGCAATGTTGCTATTATGCTAACAAATCTGGAATAATAAGAGAAACCCTGGCCACTGCAAATAAACATCTACAAGAAAGTTATAATAGATTGATAAAACAGGAGGGATGGTTCCAGTCAATGTTTAACTGGTCTCCCTGGATGACTACCCTTGTTTCTGCCCTTGCTGGACCCCTGTTAATCTTGTTACTAGCTTTGACTTTCAGCCCATGTATTATTAATGAGCTTATGGCCAATGTAAGGGCCCAGATAGGATCTGTTCACCTAATGATTTTGAATCAACAGGCCAAATATCATCCTTTAAGTGAGCTAGATGAGAAAGAGGAAAGATGGAGACAAGAATACCAAGATAATGCTGTATAAGATTACACAGCCACGGGAAAAATCAGTGGGGAATGTGAGACTGAACAACAGTTACTCCATTTTGTAATAGGGCCCCAACTTGTCTGCTTCTGTTACGGATCACCAGGTAGACATCAAATTCCAGGGATGTGCTTGTTGTTGTGCCAGGAAGGTCTGTTGTGTGTGTAGTGTTCCATCATGGTTGCCCAACTCCATATCTGAATATGTTACCTTAAAGACAATCTGTAAAAGTTCTGTTTTATCTCTCTCCTCCACTTTTGTGTTTCTGCTTGCCAACTTCCCCTGCAACCCCCTATAAAAATAGCCTTGGACTCTGAGCCAGTTTCCTCTCTAAGCTTGGAGCTTGGAGAGTGCTGTCTGGCCAGACTAATAAAAGTCTGTTTTACTTTAACAACTTGTCCGGTGTGTTCCCTCCTGGATCTTCACTGTAGTCAGCTCCTCAGAGCATTTGGTGAGACACACAGTCTTACAATATCAATACCAAAAATTAAAGAACTTAAAGGAGAGAAAGTTAAAAATAAAAAAATAAATTGCAAAAATATAGTTACAATATTATTTTAGAGAATATTGTGATAGCTTTTTGTTATTATGACTAAATATCTGACATAAATCAGTTTAAGGAAGCAAGGGATTATTTGTGCTTACCATTTCAGAAGTTTCAGTCCATGATTGACTATACAGAAGGTAGAAACTTCATAGGAGAGGGGCATGGGAGAACAAAGCTACTCAGCACATGGCAGTCAGGGGCAGACAGCAAGGGGGAAAACAGAGAAAAGGAAAAGGGCTGAGGTCAGAATACATTATTCAAATCACCTCTTCTGTGACCTATATATCTACAGTAAATAAAGTCACACACCTGTGTACATTCAGGGGTCTTCAATGGTGTGATTGTGGGGTCTTTGACGTAGTGAAAAAAGAAAACTTAAAGACGAGGTTGCAGGTAGTTTCATTGAGTATAAGGCCTGAACATTGGCAGAGATAATTTCAGGTGTGATCATTTCTATCATTTAGTTTTTAACATGGATTTATTTTTTTAATAGTTCTGGTGTTTTGATCTTTTTTCTAAAATGAGAAGTGAGAGAAGTTGAAACATTTGTAATATCTATCATTTTCAGGTTTGGGGATTTTCTAGCAAGCTCTTTCATATTTTTTATTTTAGTCATATATATATTGGAAAGAGGCGAGACATTATATTAGGAGAGTCTGGGGCCGGGGATTTAGCTCAGTGGCTCCCCTGCCTGCCCTGCAAGCACAAGGACCTGAGTTCAATCCCCCGGTACCAAAAAAAAAAAAAAAAAAAAATAGAAGGAGAGTCTAAGGAACTACAGTATAGGTCTTGTGTAATTAAGGTTAGCAAAATAATAAGAATGCTTTAAAAGAGGCTTAAGGTAGAGATACAATTTGGCCTTATCTCTTAAAAGTAAGTATGAAGTCATCAATGGATTAATCTGTATGTGTTTAATGCCCTATGGCCCAAACATTTTCCAAAGCACTGCTTCTGAACACATGAGAATTTTGAGATACATTTTCCATCCAAACCATAACACATATATTCCTTCAAACAGAATGGAGGTGCCTTCTACTCTGGGCTAAAGAAAGACAATATAATATTACTAAAAGAACATGAGTTTTTTTTCAGTGTATTTTAATGTCTGAATATAATAGGAAAAAAAGGCCAGGGGCTTCTCATGATTAATGCTAGAAAATGTCAAGCATAACTAAAAATATTTTTCTCTGAGTATATTGTTTTTAAGGTTAGAAATGTATGATGAAAAATTAATGAAAAACCTCAAACAAAATATTTTGTCATTAGAATTTTATTTTTATTTATATAATGATGAAATATATATATGCTTTTAAGGCAAAATAGGTATTAGAAATATCAAAGACAATTTATACCCTTCTTGAATGGCTTTGCTTTGTTACCAGCCTCAACTCCAAGCTGTCTTTTACATATATATCTCTGTAAGGAGTTAGTAACTTATTGTACATTTCCAATTTTTTGAGTTTCCTAAGACATATTTATGGCTTACTTCTTTATCTACCTTAGCAAATATATAATGTATATTTGAAAACCTTATATTTAGTGCTTGTCATTCTCACTTTTCTGTCAAAGTGACAAAAATACCTGAACCCTGCAACTTAAGGGTTGAGAGGTTTATTTTGGCTGATTATTTCAGTCTATGGTAAGCCAGATCCCCCCAAAAAAAAACTATGGCATGGAAGATCACAGTGCAGGAAGGCTGCTCACATCATGGTAGTCAGGAAGCAGACAGCAAGAAAGACCTCAGGAGGGAGAGTCCTTCCAGGTCACTTCCTACTGAGAAAATTTCTGCCCATGCCTCAACTAATACCACATCACCAATAAACAATCAGGTTATAAATCCACTGATGAGTAGAGTACTCTCATTCAATCAACTTATAAAAACATGAAGGCTCTTGAGGGAAATTTTAGATCTAAACCATCATAGTGTTATCATGTAGAATTCTAGAAATATAGATTAGGTCTAGAAGAGTACAATTTATGATCTTACATGATTTTACTTTTTGAAATATTTTAGTGGTTAAAGCATGATTACTAATATTGATACAACATAGATTAGTGAGAAAATCTAGATTAAAATGACTAAGAAAATAGAATGTTGGAAACAAATATATACTAAATTCCTGTTACTTCATACTGAAAATAGTGAAAATTGACTCTCAACAGCTTGGAAGCCTCATTTATTTTGTTGCAGTTATTATTTTTCTAGATTAAGTAGTATTTTGACACCTATGAATACAAATATTTCTTCCTATATTTACACTTCATGTACATAAAAGATTAGTATACATGAAACTTTGCCTAAATTTTAAGTTAATATTTTGGCTGTCTGCTCTTTTCTTTATGATATATTCCTTGGAATTCAGTACTAGTTTTCATTAGAATTAGTTTTCAGTTTTTGTCTATTATGAATAATGCTCTGATGAACATTGTGTCATATGCTTACATAAAGCACTTTCTGTCTTTAAGCTATATATGTTCCTGTAGTAGAATTATTGAATCAGAAAGGAGGATGGTACTCACCTTCATTGATGTTATTAGATAATTTTCCAAAACAGTGCCTCATTTTAATTTCTTTCAATATGTACGAGATTGACCTTTTCCTTACCAAACCTAGAGATTTTGGATCCTTTTCATTGTTGCTGTTTGATGTTTGGTCATTAGTTTATTTTGGATTAATAGTGGCTAAAGAATATGTGCACAGTTTCATGGCATTTTCTTCAATTTCATGTCCTCATTTATAAAGTGTGCAAGTTCTTTGGTTATAAATATTTAGAAGATTCTAAATTATTGTTTACATACAAGTATGTCAAATGTATTATGAATATCTTATTCTCCTAGGTAAATTGTGTTTTCACTGTTATGTGACTTATTTTTGCTTTTTTTACAAATTGGAAATTCAGCATTTTGTAATATATCCTATTTTTATCATCACCAGCTGTTTTCCTCTGCTTACAAAATTTTTGCTAGTCCATTGATAATAATATATTCCTTAGTATTTTCCTTCAAAACTATTTTTACTGTTAATTTTATATTAAATTCATTGGAAATTAATTCCTCTATAGGTACCAAAACTAAGGTTTTTGCTAGATGTAAATACTGATATTTAAGTGCTTTTTATCTATTTAAGCAGTTTAACCACCTTCTTAATTACACTTTTGTAATTACTATCAAGTTTTGTTTTTAGGGGCATAGCTGGTGATATTATAGTTTGGACATCATACATTCTCTTTTTTCTATATAAGATAAATAAAATACATGACATATATTTCTTCAAAGTTCAAAGACTTATGAACCACTTTACTATGGTGAAGAATTTCTAATTTTTTGAAAAATTAATGATATTTTAATTTATGATAGGATTTTTAAAAATTCTTTTATTGGTACATTTTAGGTACACAATACATTTACATTTGTCGTTGGGTGCTTGTACCTGTACATGATGTATATTAGTTCTTATTTTTTCCCCCATTACTCGTGTGCCCTTCACCTCCTCCACTCTTCCCTATTTACATAGATTTCATTTTCATTTTCTTTTATTTTCTCATAATTTTTCCTTTCCCTTCTTCCCTTTCCCTTTCCCCTCCCAACACCCCTACACCTTTGGACCTTTTCCTATTTGAAATTATGAATTATTCATTTTAATCATTTTAATCCTTATTTACACTTTCAGTTTCTCACACTAGAGAAACTATTCAGTATTTACACTTGTGTCCT